ATGGATATAGTCAGGTTCACTTGTTGGCTTACTTGTTAGAATTTAAAGACCTGTCTTTGGATGCCATGAGTTTTAACATGAGATGACGCAGCATCTGGGTGTCCTACTGATTTTAACCTTACTCATTCTGCAGCCCAAATTCAAGGACGACACCTCCTGTATAATTTCCAGGATATGGTTGAATAAAATTAACTAATTCTTTCCAGCTCTTGTTCACTGACTGTTATTTTCTCTGCTGTTTCATATTCTTGTATTTTAGTCATTTCGTCAATAACATATAATTGTTTCAAATAACGTGTCTATGTTTTTGGGGACATGCCTTTTATTTGTACATATTCGATTACGAGTAATAAATTGTGATATTATAAGGGTTAAAAGAGTCGTTTAAAAGCTTAGACTTATCATACCTCTGAGATTATAAGCGATTAGCTAACGATTCAATATACCAATTTAAAATCAAATTTGTGGGTAAAGGGAGTTCGATATTATTAAATTTTTCATGGCCAAGACGTCTACTCGTCGTATCATAAAAGAAATTGCATTATGGAAAAAAAATCTGGCAAGCTGGATTTCGGTATACTTCATCGATCCCTCTAGCGATAAATTTTTATGCGGGGTCAAAGGTCTCGAAGAACGGTTATTTGTAACTATGTCCCTAATGGTAGCTTTGAAGGAAAAAATATTGTTTGAGAAAAATAGAGAACGCTAAGTCTTTATTTAAATATATAAATAAAATATTTATTGAGTTAACTAGCTTAAAAATCAAAAAGGGTAAAAGCAAAGCATTTTCTTGCTCAAATGGAAATTTGGAAGATATGTAACAGAACCGTAAAACAGAATACATATCTAAGGTTTAAAATTTATTTATTCGTAATTTATCAATTCGACAGGTTTCGTTTTTTAACCATCTTCTAAGCCTATTTTCCAGTTTATGGAATTTATTAACAATTTTACAATCTTATTCTGACAATACGGTAATTTAACTATTTTCTTATTCTAATCCTTCATTAACCATCGCTATTTTAAGAGATTGCTTTTGATTAAAGTTTTTATATTAAGAAAATCAGCTTTGTTAGATAGCTAATCTGAAATAATTAAGCTAGCGAAAAAATATTTGGGGTTGCTGTGTACTTGTAAGAGTGCTCTGTAAGATTGAACTTCCGGAAGCGGAACTGGTGCATAGAGTGAGATTACAATTCCGATAATTTTCACAAATTTCAGTTTGAAGTTTTTGATATTATATCTAAATTAGAAATTAAATATGAAGGAAAGAAGCATAAAATTTTGTAGAGCAACAATAAATCAGAACAATCTGTTTTTCCAAAAATCGTGGTTAATATACAAACAGATGCCAAGAAGATTCAAATATGACTGCGAAACGTGCTTACTTAATGTTATGAAACAACCATTAATTGAAACTCTGCTTATGTTTTCTGCCTTAATTTTGCTTATAAATAAACACACGAAACTACTTTCCATAAAATTTTTGTTTTAGCATAATCAACAATTAATATAAACAAGTTCTGCCCGAAGCGACCAAAAAATCATATGTTTATCCAAACATAAATGTTTTAAAAATTCAACATGTAACAAAATAAACGCAGACACACAACATTATAGTCATAACCATTGTAGTCAAATTTGAATTTAGCGAAGGTGGGAAAACGACTACAAGATTATTTGTACCAGTAAACTAGAAACTTAACAATGAGAGTCGTAGATAAACTTTCCCAAAATATTTTCAATACTGACTGTAATTAAGACAGTGTTTTCGCACTCATTTTATCAAACAGTGTCAGTCATGAGCACTACCTACTACTCAACGGAAGATGGCGTAACAGAACGAAGAAATAAAGGAAAACCAACAAATCCTGTTCTATTTGGAAACATTCCACATGTTATGGGACAACATGACAAATAGTCATTCTAATGAATAAATCAAAACTTTCCGAAAAAAGATCATATAAGCATTACTGTACTCAGTTAATTCTCAGTATGTTATTTATTGCACAAGATCCAGAGAAGTATGCCTAGTATAAACCAGTATACCATGGCGAGCTGTAGATTTTCAGATTAGAAAAATTGCTTCCACAAATATCTCTATTTGAACAAGTTATAAAATGATTGAACATTATTTGGACAATGTATTTTCCATCACAACTCCAAACAAAATAGATACTTAGAAAAACTAGATGTTAATGCAAGAACTGAAAGTTGCAGATTAGTCATCTCAATATGGATGTAGTAGTGAACTTATGTTTAAAATTGTGATTTGAATTGTATTTGAAACGGTACTTTTGTTAGAAATAATATGTTCTGAAGAAAATTGTGGCATACATTGGATATTGTGACATATCGTCACCTGAGAATTATTTTGAACTATATCCAAAACACAATCTTACTATGTGCAATTGTTGTACCAAGTATTGTACCAATGATAACTGAGCAAGTAACCACGTGACATAGGACTTGATATCACTAATGTTAACATGAATTTAGACATAGCCTAGTAGTCAAAACCAACGATAAGGATCTGCTAACGTTTAAATTCAAATTAAAAGGGACTTGATTCTCAAGTAACGATATGTTGTTTTGATAATCTATAATTTGAACATCTAAATTCCTTTTCTGACTATTTATTTATCTAAAATTTGATCGGTGGCAATTTTTGACGTCTATTATAATTAATATACTTAACTCATTTTTTTTCGGATTCAGTTACAATATCGCAGAAATGAATAACGTGTAAAATAGTGAATATTAAAAGTACAATGATCCCCCCATTTACGCGGTTTCCAATTACGAAATACCTGAAGCTTTATTGCTTTGACCTACCATCGGGTTCATTTCATCGCCCAAGGAAACCCATCATTGGGTCCCGGTTAAGAGAATTTTCATTAACAAGCGAGTTCCTGGAACCAATTAACCACTTAAATGAAGGGATCATCGCAGGGACAAAAAATAAAGGCCAAGAATAAATTAATTAAAGTCGGTACAATAAGAAAACGAAAAAGCAGCAAATAACATACATTTCGAACAAACAACAAACATTTTTTAAATAATACTTAAATTATTCAAGATAAAAAAATAGAATGCAAATTAACTAATTTTTATAATGTAACGTTAACATTCACAACAAACATTGAAGCTAAATGAGTCATAAAACAGAAATAAAATGTTGGATAAAAAAGGCGATACAAACGTGATTCAATAAGAAACCAGTTTTTTACATAAGAACATAATTCATACATTTTTTTGGTTGTTAAACTTAACGATGATCAATTCTGTATTTTTTGAGATCCACTTCATATGTTTATTCGAAAATTTGAAGTAGGTACTTTTATCAATATTTAAAATGCTAAACAAACACTTTCTAAATAATTGTCTACTATAGTACTTAAAGATAAAAATGAAATACTTAAAATGAACTGAGTAAACATTAAAATTATGATTTCGAATTCATCAAAAAATGTTCTCTTAAAAATCGATTACTTTATTAGCTTGAATGAAACGATTGATTTTTTGTAATGAAATTTAGAATAATACAAAATTGTTACCTGAAGAAGTAGTTTTTGGCAGTGTAGTTTGAACAGATTCCTCAATAAAATCGTTCTTATCACGGTGAGATCTTGTAAATGCAATAAAATCGAATTCGTTTTCGGCCGGTTTAACGTTTTTCTTGATCTGTTCCAAGATTTTATTACGACGAGTCCTCAACAATCCCAAATTGATGGCACTGCTCGATTTCGATTTGGCGAGAACGGGCTTCTCGTCGCTGATCGTTTCACCAACGCCAACATTCGACGCGCACTTTTTGTGACCTAAAACGCTAGGTCTAACAACTTTTTCCAAATTCGATGTTTGTCGAATGAGTCTAAAATCAAAATGCGAAACCGAACTTCGCAAGTTGTTTCTCTGTTTTAAGTTCTCATCGTTTTCGTATATCGTCGATGGATCGTCCGTTCTCGTCCGACATATTTTCGACTTGACCCGTTTCAGATACGAGTTGTTGCTATCGGAACAGGTAGAGAGAGTTTTTTCGGGTTTATTTGGGGTACCTCCGACCATCGCTAAATTCCTGTTACCGGTTGCCGATTTGACGGTATTATTAATTTTTCCTTTTTTTGTATCGCCAGAAGAAGATGAGATCATCTTCTTCCGTTCCTCTTGATTCTTAATTACGTCCAAATCCGTACGATATGCCCCGTACCGAAATATATCGCTAAATCTTCTGGACTTTCTGTCAGATTTGTCACTTTTCGGTGACTCCTTATCGTCATCTGTTAAAAATCCGCTACGCGATCTTGACAAATTGCCATCGATCTTGTCAATTTTATTACAACCTGCTTGGATGAAGCTATCACTATAACGTTTCACATCCGAGACTATCGCGGTTCTATTATTTAAGTTAACTACGACATCATGTCGAATTGTAACCGTTGCATCTACTTCATCACAATTACTGCTGCTGTTGTTGGTGGTGGTGGTGTTGTTACTCGTCTTTTTATTATTTGAATAAGTACGACGACGTTCCGTATTGGATTTATTGTCATCAAGGTCGTGTCTATTTTTGTCAGTCTTTACTGGTTTCTTTTCAGTCTTATTATTTGTTAATGTTCCGCCGCCGCCACCACCTTTCGAAGACCCCTTTGCGTGTTTCGTATCGGAACCACCACGCCTCTTTTTATTCGGCATCTTATTATTCTTCTTATTCACTTCATCCCTACACACCAAATAAGATTCCTAATTTTTTTGTGTTTTTATGTTCGTTTCAATGTCTTTAAAGAGATCTATTTCGTGTTATCACGTAGTTCTAGTGCGTATTTAGAGAATTAATATAATTTTATCACAAAAATAACTGATCGAAATTAAATTTAATTTAAGATTTACGTATTAAAAAAAATTTAATTTGATACAATTAAAAAGTTTCCCTGCATATTCTATTTTATAATTAATTCCAAATGTAAAAGAATATCCATTTTTTGGCAGAGTGTATACTCTTAACCTATATTTTACGGATATTTGGCTTCAAATTTATAACATTTATGGGCATACGTAAGCCGCAATGGTTTATCTTTTAAAGTTGAAAGATTGTAATGCGAGGCCGAGGATTCAACAATAAATCGCGGTCGAATTATACGAAATATTTTTTGTATACTTCACCGGTTGTGAATTCGAAATGATTATAAACATCAACAAGTAAACATAATTCAGAGCACTGTAGAATAACTACTTAATTAATTACAAATTTTATTAACAAACATATCGAACGAGACGTTTTCCATTTTATAAAACGGTTGCTAAAATTAAAAGGCTTCTTAACCGTTGTCTAAAAACCGAATAATCACTCCTGGCCGATATCGCGCAACACAGAGAACTCTGTACGTCAAGTATCACTCTCATATAGCCTATCACTATAAAATCTAATGCCTATAAACTTCGACAAACGAATGACATTGTAATCCAGGTAATTAAAAGAATATAAACGCATATTAGAAGGTAACGGAACTCTTGCTGTAGGCTGAGTTTCAGTTATCATCTTGATTTACGCAATTGAGGCTCACAGTCAATCTTTTTTATTGCCAGGGGCCAATCAGTTATTATTACTCTGTCCTCGATCCATGCAAAATTGGAAGGTTTCTGTTGACAGGACTTCAATGTCAGGTAAATCACTTGCAATTTACGCATTAAAAACATTGGAAAATTTTCAAAGATAACCAGAAAGGTTAACTCAGCACAAGATAAGCAGTGATGTTGAGAAATTTTTAATGACTTTGATAGATTTCTTAATAACTTTATAAAGTGGTCACTCCCCACTGGAAGTTGACTCAAACATGCCACCCATTAGCACAGGACTCAGTAACCTAGAGGAGCTGTGAGCAACCTTTAACAGAACTAAGAGGTCTAAATTAGAATGCGACTGAAATCCTTATACAAGCAAACTATTGGAGGTTTAAAAAGTATTCATTAGAAAAAGATAAACTTGGAGATTATGTGAAGATGTCACATCTAAAGCGGATGATGGAAGCGGAATTGGAATGGTTCTAGTTTTAGACCCGGAACGACGAATCTGTTTACTAAAGAAGGATGATGATTGTTATACCTTCTAATGATTGTGTACTATTTACGTTAGGAAGACGCTAGTTATACAACGAGATCCTGATTACAAACCGACTGTAAAGACTGGCCAATGTTAGCTAAAGAAGTGGGCTATAAAAAATTCACCGTTCAAAGCCCCTCGACTTAATGGTATCGTATCTACCTTACTACTGTGTGGCTTGGTAGAATTGATACCTCACCTGTAAGGAATCTTTCACCGTTGCCTGGTATTTTACAACCTTACCAATTGTTGGCGTGATGGTTTGGCGAACCAGGTTGCCTCGAAAAGACTATGTGATCGTCACATAACCCCAGGAGGGAAAAAGACCCAGTACAAGTCCAAACTACCTCTTCAAACTACTCTGCGAGTAGTATTGTCAAGAACGTTAATTCGTTGTATTGTAGTAATGAGGCTTTGGTGGAGCACACATATCTACACTCTGCGGTTGGATAGAAAGTTCTTAAATAAAGAATTGTTAAATTAATGACTGTCTATATCATCCTTAACGAGACTATTAACAGAGATGGTGGTCACAAATCTTATCTTAGTTTAACCACTTAAACATCTTGCCAGTACCTGCGTTCTATTTCCCCATTTTTCAAATAACCACACCTATGACCCTGCTACTCACCCAAAAATGAACAAAATTTGGCCGGTGTACTTACCTCTGAACGATACGTTTCAAGAGGCACATATACCACCACAACATGTAACAATTGACGAAAGTTTCATGTTGTACAAAGGAAAATTGGGTTGGGTACCATACATTTCCATTAAATATGGCAAATTAGGAATAAACAATTACTTTTTTTGCGAATTCAAATCTGGGTATATGCGGTCTTCACTAATACATACAGGGAAAGGAACAATTATCAGCAAGCCTCAATATAGCCATTTGCCTATTTCAATGGAAGTGGTATACGGATAGATTTTATTCCTCAGTTAAGTTAGCAGATCTTCTTGTCTTACACTCAACATATACAGAATATATAACAATGAAATCAAATAGAAGAACGAATCCCAAAAATCTTATGAGTTTCAAAAAAGGTAAAACGGGGTTTTATGTCAGCATATCAGAAAAGGAAAGTAATGGCTTTGAGAAGGAAGGATAAACGGGACGTAATGGTTCTACCATACATGGTACCAATTCTGTAGAAACTAGGAAGAGGAACACAATGGGAGACTAGAGCTAGAAAGCGAGGAAAAAATTATTACAACAATATGTATTTTATGTAGAAACATACTACCCTGAATTATCATCAAAAGGTGGACGTTCAAGTAAGAGCTTAAACGCAATACGACTAACCGACCATTTTGAGTGCCCATTTCAAGCACTGAAAAATCAGCTCCCACAAAAAGATGTAATGTGCGTTGTTCAAATCAAAGCGTCTCTGTACGAAACACAACTCGGAAGGTTACGTTATGCCAAGCGAACTTCCCTCACTGTGGCTATGAAAAATATGTTGAACCTACAACCTCTAAAACTACACATTAAACAGATGGCGGATTATCATGTTACGACTAGGTGAAGTAGGAATCTTTAAAGAAGTGATTATCGGCAAAAAATTGAGTACTCTGGAGAGAGCCAGTGGCAAACACATCTCTATTGGCGTATCTGATATACGCACATAGTTCAAAGAGGCGGACTCGGCCACGAACGGGGGTCTTCTCTAATTGTGTCATCAAACAGGGGAAATTATACGCCACAAACTTGATGAATTACCAAGTACCAATTCTGGTCCGGTTTCCGATTACCATCAAACGCTTGAGAAAGCGACAACGTACAACTGTTTTACACGCCACTGATTAAAGGGAAATTCGATTTGTTGGGGATATAAACACTTCCAAACCACAGAAACTTCAATAACACTAATCTTCCTCCATGAAAAATCATTACAATCTGAGTTTCTAACAGGATATTTAACATTAACAGAACCTTCATCGAAACATAACCAAATCCAAGAAAGTTCGTTAAAACCTCAATCTAATATTTTTCGATTACATTTTGATATGCAACAAGAAAATCAAACAAACTCCATGAAATTTTAATATATTCTTAATTTGTAATAAGAAATTTGCATTACCGTAAAAAAATTTTATCATAATCAAACCACATCCCACCAATTTCTTAAAACTATTAATTTTAATCGGCAAAATTCTAGTAACAATATCAATTTAATCTATTTCAACAAATATGTATTTTTTAATAATAAATATGAATTCAAAACATACAAAATGCACAGCGACTGAATGTTTTGGATATAATATCATTTCCGGTTACGCAATTTGATTAAAATTTTATATCTGAATGTTTATAATAATTATAAATGCTTATACAATATTTGATTAATTTGTCTCAATTACGTACCATTAAGTTTATATTAACACTTCCGGTTAAGCGATTTAAATGAAATATATCTTAATATTTGATCAAAATGCAAAGTTTTCAGAAATAAATTGAATCGAATTAATTAGCACTCATCTTAGCAAAAAAAAAACATAAGAAGGTAAATATGTAGGAGCTAAGTGACTGGAACAGCTGTGCATGTTTTGGAATGAATTTAGATGTTTAAAATTAATCTCTAAAATCTTCTTGAATACAAAGTCACGAGATAACAGAAATTATTTAAATTTTAGCTTTTACAAAATAGAGAGCAGTTATTAATGAATTAAAATGTTCAAGTGTTACTTTTTTATTTCTATTAAAGTATTTTTGCTTATTAAAGCAAAACATCAAAACTATATTTTGCTTTAATAAACAAAATAATGTGATTAAATTAAATGAAGTTTTAAACATGTGGTCTTTTTAAATTAACTTCATCTATCTTACCACAATGTCGTATTTTGTAATAACAATTTTCTATATTAAAACAAAATATTTTCAATTATGTTTCTTTTAAAGTATAATACAATTTTTATCTCAGTGTAGTATTGACCCAATCAAATTTTTGTTTAGTGTCTACGAATTAGAAAATTTATTCCTTAATTCCGACCATATTCTAACCAACAATAATAACACAATAACATCTGAGGTTTTATGAATCAACTGTAAGATGACGCGTGTAGTTTGACGACGACCATTTTCAAAAGTTATCGCTAAAATAACCACATGTTATTCCAAACGCTATTTCTGGGACAAAAATAGATTAAGTTAACCCATTATATCTTTATTAAAACCTTAAAATAAGATAAGGGCTTGACTTACGATGTGCAAATTTGGTAAATTCTATTTTGAAAATGTGTGTTGTAGAAACAAATCATTTTTTAATGAACTTATGCAATGTGCCTGTTGTTGATAACCATAAAATTTAACGCCTACAACATGTTGCTGTTTATACTCAATATTTTTATAGTAAACAATATACACAGCTTGAAACTCGTCCTTAATTCAACTTGGGCAGTAGTACAGAAAATAGGCATAACTTTGAAAGTTTGAATCGTTCATCATTTCTAAGGTTTGGAATCATTAACGAAATTAATGAAACAACTTGATGACTCCAGCAATTTCGAACAATTCAACGAATGGTACTATAAATCATTTTTTTATCAGAATTTCATATATACACATTTCCCAACCACATCACCCAGGTTTATTCTAAAATACCGCAATGTCTCATAAAGAAATATAATGGGAGTCTCGTGCGTAATTCTTTCGCTACAATATATATTTTCTTTGCCTTTCAAACACACATTCTATTCATAGAAAATTGAGTTTGCCGTTCAAAGACTAATATCCGCTGTTTTTATTGCTGTCAACACTTAATTTGCCGCTACATGTTTAATTTGTTAACCAGAAAAATCGTAGTCTAAAACTGAAATTCGAATGAATTACGATGAATGAAATCAACTGAAAACCGATACAAATACTTAATTTAATATTCAAATTACTTCATTATAATTGCGCTGACGAAATAATAGTTTCTGGGGATGGAATTTTTTTTAAGTTTGAGATGATTGACCATTATGGGAGGCAACTAGTTATGGGACAAAATGATTATGTAGTCTCCATAACATTATTTGGTTTAAACCTTTTGTCTACTGATGATTGACAAATCTAGCATTTCGTGTCCATTTTCCTAGGTACTTATTTTCCACTGGTAAATCAATTCTGCGTTTAGTCGAACAACTCTGAAACTGGAACAAAACTTCCTCCGTTCTGTCAAGAATATCGCCACTCATATACCAATTACATGAACCCTTTACAAAAGACAGACTATCCATCAACTGTTGACACTGTATATGGGACAAATATTTTTCATAGTAACTACTTCTTTATAAAAGTAAGACGAAAGTTTAAGCAACAGGGTGGAGTTGTATGGGGTTAGAGGCTAAATATATGGTAATAACAATCACAAATTCCTTTATTTGTAATTGAAAGCAATTTTGTCTACTATTTCGGGAATGGGTTAATCATAAATACTAGTGGAGCAAAACGAAAGCTGAATACCATTTAGTTCTTACAAACCACATATACAAATTAGCAAACGCAAAGAGGTGTGCAACAAACAACAAATTTATTTTCTCTTATTGAGCTGAAAACCAAAGGTTCCACTTCGAAAGTGATAACTAGAAGCGGAGAATATTTTGATGATGCCGACAATAAAGGATCATGAGTTTACCATTTTTGAAACACAATTGCCAGAATGCCAGAATACTAACTTAGTAAGTTATTTAAACGTTCTATGATTGCTTTTCCTATTTCATTACAATAGATTGGTTGAATCGATTTCAAACGAAGTCACTTGCTTGCTTAAACACATCGTTCAATAGAAATAATCACATTTTTTAAATTTGTTGCTACTTAGGTACTTTTTCCTATATATCTTACAGTATCTAAGTCTTGATAGAGTCGATTGTAGGGAAGATATGCATTCAAGTTTACCCTCAAATGGCATGTTTACCCTCAAACCGCCGAGGTTGCTTGCGGGTGAGGCACTAGAATCCCCAAGAGCTATTTCGTGTTGACACATCAAATCCAGCGAGTTGATCTAATGGATGACTTGCTTGTAGAACATCATGTTAAATACAATTATTACATTTTCAATATAACAAAGATAGCATTCTTTTTAAACCGTAGATATCCATAGTAACACATTGTTAAAAGAATTTTCTGATTTCCGAGCTGACAAGAATGTTTACACCAGAATTTTCTCCTTCCACATTTTACCCCACGATCTCTACTCGTCTGTGAAGATCACTGCTTTCCAAAAATCCATGTGCTTTTCTTTGCGCAGTTTTACAACTTTATTTGACTTCTTACAGTTAATGTGGATAATACTGATTGGTAACTCTCGTGGATCTTGACTGCTGCTTCTCACTGTTTCTGCACTAATAGTTTTATTTGCTATTATTTCTGGGCTGTTTTTCAAAGATTTGATTGACTTCATGCAGAATGCTTCGTTCAGTGAGTTAATACTTTGGTCTCTCTGAGGAGAGTTCTGGCTATACTACTAGTTGAAGGCTGTTTATTTATTACAATTTCTTTCTCTTCTACACTTGTCTCCGTATCACATGTGGAAATCGCCCCTTTCTTAGTTACAGATACATTTCTACAAAAGTATAACAGATTTGTTTCTAATCCATAAAATATTATTGATAGCAGTGATCCAATAGTTCTCGTTGACTAATCTTTCTTCATTGTATTGCAAAAATCATTTCAAAATCACATTTTTACTTATCAAATAGTGTCATTCTTAACTTTACTTATTAATTCAGGAAATGATGAGCTCATCTTTCAATTATCAAATTATTTTTGTATTTTCGATATTATATAATAATTTGACGATAAGGTGGTGTTTACTTTTACAAAATATCCATTTATTAAAATACGATTTATTTTAATTTAAAATAGTTCGAGTGTTGTAATTTGTCAAGGTGTCCAGTTGAGACGTTTGTACTTACGTAAGAACTATGGAAGTTTTATAACTCATTTAAAGCTATAAATGGAATTGTTATACAAGAAATATACCAAGTAATATTTTACGAAATTTCAAAGAAAATAATCGAGATTAGCTCTCCAAAATAAAAAAGTAAACATTTTCCACACGTCCTGTCTAAAAGTGAATCTTTCTACTTTTAGTACAAAAATAACTGTTTGCTTCCCATGAAAACGTCCTTATTAATAACATCGACGAAACAGATGTTCTACGCTGATATTTTCTATGCAACTTGCGATAACCTAAATATTTATCTTACATGAACAATAATATTGCATTGTGATGATCAGAGTTCTTTCTAAATCTTCATAATATTCTCTTCAGATATCGCAACACTTTAAAATCAAGTATTTTACAATTCTCAATGATTTATTTGATCGTAATTTTCTTGTACATTTTCACATAACCATATTTCGATTTTATTTATTTTTATTGGACGCGAATTTCTAATGTTAGCAAATGCATATCCTGTTCATTATCAATTTATTTAAATTTTAAATCCATAAGCTTCCTTGAAACCACATCCCGTAACAAAGTCAAGTTAGAAATGTTATAACAACATTTAATATTATCTTTTTAATACAAAATTTTTGTTCCGCTTACATTGTCGGGATAAATACTAAATAAATTTCTTTGTAATATCGTTACAGGAAATACTTTATGATTCACCATCACATTCTGTGACGGATATTGTATTTTTTTAACCCGTTCGTTATCAATCTTACACTCCAATAACAACAATGTATTTATTGTAATAAGTATTTGAATAATATGTACATCTTAATTTTTTTGAGGTTTCTCAATTCGCGATAATTAAATATTGCGTATGCGTGACACATTCTTTTTTTACAGTTGATTAAATAGTGATGTCATTGGATCTTAACTCTGGTCACGACAAATAACCGCAAAACCAATTTGACGCACACGTTTTGTAATCATTTTTGTAAGAATTTTCAAAAAATAAATCATAATTAAATACCTATAATATAATATATCATAATTTGCGTGTTCAATTTGTTAATAAAACAGCGATTATTACACAACGTTGAAAATCGAAGCCTATCTATTGAATTAAAAAAATTGCAGATTAATGTGCCTAATAAGCAAATATTTATTTTTGCAAAGCGTTCGTAATGCGATTATCGCGATGGGGCCCTAATTCAAATATTAATAACGTAAGAGTGCGTACATTCAACAACAGCTCAACGGTATTGAAAATAAATATTTAACGATTCTCTCTACGCGCGAAAAAAAGGTTTATAAAAAAATCGAAGAACGGTTCTAAATTTAACGTTGTGTTAATATATAAACACGAAAATACGTTTACTCTTTTTTTACTTTTCATTCTTTTTCGTTACATAAACAAAAATTGTACATTAAGTGGGAG